CCAATTATTATAAAGTCATACTTGGCATGAATGGATTAAGTATAAATATTTTAACGAAATCACAAACTTTAATTTTAGATCTTATAGATTGAATTCGAGATCCAGACTCTAAGAAAAAAGCTATAAAACAATATTTATAAATAACACCAGAAGAAAATAAACCTTCTATTTCTAAACCATACTCTTTAGAAGAAGTTTTAGATAGATCTGAATCTGAAGCTGTAGTGTTAAAGAAAAAGAAACTTTCATGCAAGAGCTTAAAAGAGAAATAAATTAACTTAGAATTTAAATTAAAACAATGAAACAAAAGATTATTGGCAATAGAAAAATTGTCAGTTGCAACTAATAACATCGTACAAGACCTAGAAGAAACAAAAGAGTCTGCTAATGAATAGTTAAATATCTATACTACTATAAAATATACATATAATGAAAAAACTTTTGATTGACCACATTGTCCCTACTATATATTTTAATTACCTCAAAATCCTACCATAAAAAGTTCTGGAGACCCACTTACACCAATCAACTCTTCCCCTCCCTCAAGTTACTACATCATTTACTATTTGGATGAGCAAAAGCCAAGGAGTGAATATATCATTTATTTCTTAAGGCTTTAATGACCGACGGGGGGGTATCTAATCACCATTAAATACAAAAAATATAACACATAGTCTATCCTTTGCAAGTTTAAAGTCTTCATCTCAAGCCATTTTTAATTTCCCACTTACTGTAGCATCTCTCATGCTCTTTTTCCTTCTCGCTTTTTCAGCATTTTGGGGTGAATGATCCAACATTTAGTTTAGCGTCTTACAAATTCTAGCCATTAGTTTTCTTCACCATCGATAGGCTTTCCCTCCCCTGTCCGAATCGGTCACAACTACCGGCTTCACACTTTCTATATCAACAATGTGTTAGAAAGATTACCATCAAATCGAGCTCCTCGTTGACGAATCGGTTAAAAATTCAAATCCAAAATTGAAAACAAATACAACGAGGGAGATTAGTATGTTTGCTTAAAAGTACAATTGGGTCATTTGAAGTTTCAGCATGTGCATTCTTGTTGCTGTCATTAGAGTTCATCTCTTTGTCTTGTTATATTATATATGCATACATATTTTTATACGAGTGTGTATATATATATGGATGTTGAAATGATCAAACTACCTAAGCAATTTAGACGTATAAAAACCAGAGATAGAGAGAAGCAAAGTGAGAATGCTTCGGTACAAAAAAAATTTGGTCGTACTACCTAAGCAATTTTATTGCCTTTTAACCATTTTTTCTATCTTTTATGGCCACAACATATTTCATTCTTTGTTTAGAAGTAAAATTATTACCGCTAAAAGGGACGGCAATGAAGCTTTGACGATTAGTGTCTCATAGCATAGTTATATTATATTTGGTGAACTCCCTAAGCTGCTAACCTGTACAAAATATTAGTATTAAAAACCTATACAAAAATGCAATACATTGGTGAATTTTATAATTGTGTGATGTCTTGGGTTAATTTCCTAAAAAGAATTCAACTAATACAGTTCAGAAAGCTGAGAATTTGAATGTCCATGAAAACAACAAAGGCTTTGATTTGATTTTCTGAATTTATTTGTGTTCGAGAAAAGATGTTTCGAATGTGATCAATATGCTTCTTGCTCATAGAAATGACCAAGATCTCTAAGCCTGCAGTTTGGTTGGAGACTAATTTTTCGGTCAAACTTATATATACATCAGTTATCATAAACTCGTCATTGTGTCAATTAATATTGTTTGGTATTGAATTTGTGATGCATTTGTTTCACGAAGTCCACTCTAAAGACTGTTCCACTGCCTTCGGCAATCTGGATTCTCTCCTTCTTCGATCATGCCTCATCCAAGGCATCGGAAGCATACTCAATTTTGCATACCCAATCTAATTCCTTTCTATTTCAGCACTACTCCACTGTTTTGTGATGTTTAATTCTAACTAAGTTGTTTTAGCTTGCCCATGGTTTTTCAAGATTTCATCCTCAGGTTTTTCTAACCAACCCTTAAAAATTGCTCTAGTACTTTGACAAAAATTGTTGCTACATTGACAAAAATTGCATTCCTGAGAAGTTTCTTCCTGCATATTTGGGGACTAATTATTATAATCATTGTATTGGTATTGATTTCACATGGATGACTACGTATGCAGAGGAATAATTACTTAAATATCGCAATGTAAAATGTTGTAACAACCATGATACTCTTTACTTCCTAAGTTGTGAAATCTTCCATTATTAGCATTCCGGAGGCTTGGTAGATTCAAATGGGATTACCTGGCCTTCAATTCAGGGTCCAACGGTTGGTTATCTAGACAAATCAAGGAAAATTTTCAATCAAAGATAACTTCATCAAATTTTCTATATTTTGGAGGACAATATATCTATTTATAACTTGGATAAGTTCAATTTACCCATTCTTGTGGGAATCAGTGTTATCAAAAAACTTGTTGAGCAACAACAAATATCCTACGTTCTAGAGGCTATGAAACATCCTACCTTTCATCTTTCTAGATTAGTCTGATACATGTAGTTTTATGTGAACTTTAGAACTTTTGATTTTTCACTAATTCTTGCCAATTATGATTATAATTAAATGGCTGTGTAGGACACCCTACTATAATCATATTCTTGTATGCAGTTTCTCATTTGTCAAAGAACATCAGTGGACTCTGAAGCTAGACTTGTTTCGCCTGTACCTAAGCAACACAAGTTTTGGAGGAGATTTATGAGTGGTAGAGTGGTCTTGATATTTATTTTTCTATTAGCATCGTAAATGAAGAAAAGAGTTGTTCCAAGTTATATATTACTTGCGTTCATTCAACGTTGGGGTAATGTTTTTTGAAGGAAATATTGGATGACATGATTGTTCTAGCATTTGAAGGTTAATAGAAACATCAATCATCAATATTCACCACTACTATTGTATCACAAATAATATTAATTTAAAAATAATAATTTCATGTGACAAGTTATAAAATTTAAGAATTATAGAAATCATAAAATAAGCCAACCATTCACATCAATGATGTTGGTCACTTAAAATTAATATAATAATTAGTAGATCCACATCGAATAAGAGAACCATATAATACATAAATCTCGAGTAATGTATATATTCAAATATTTTAACAAATTGGTTCACGTGCAACTACTAATATTAGAAAAAATAACTTATCAAAAATAATATGTTAAAATTATATTGGTAATAGATCAGGAATTAACGGTCAAAACAATTGTTTTAATCAACAATGGTGCGGAAATGAACTGTACAATAAAGCATCGCTTTTAAGGATTATATCCAAAAGAGATTGGGGTTTAAGTTTAATAAAACTCAAAAAAATAAACAAGATATCCTTATAAGGAATATAATTACTTCGATTATATGGAAGCTTGGCATAATGCCAAAATGAGACCTTAACCCACACATAGTTCTTTATTTTCACAGAAACTTTCATTGAGTTCCCCATCTGGCTTCATGCCTGGTGGGAAACCCATGGCGCTATAGAGGATATATAGTATATACCCTCCTGAAATGAAAAAATTATTTGACATCTATAAAGAGAAAAATCTATCATTAAAGGACAATAAAATTGAGAATAAACCCATGATAAATATCTCAATAGAGTTCTTTGTACCCTGGGTATAGGTATGGTGTCTCTGTTGTGATTTTAATCAAAATGGACATCCTAGATTGTTAAGAGAATTTCAGGTAAGATTCTGAAATAACTATCCTCTTAAAGAGAAAATTTCAGTTATAGCCGAATGTCTTAAAGACATAGAAAAGGAGGAAGTAACTTCAAAATAAATTATTCCAAGTACTAGCACTAGTATTAACATTGGATTAAATTCAATCGAATTTCTTAAAAAAAAACTCATTAAACAGAAATCTCACATAATCACCGAACAATTTAAAGCAATAGTTATGGAGGTAATGCATCTTCAATTAATGTCCACTTTTGGAATGGACAAAAATGAATAGATGGCTATTGTTAATACTTCAACTATTGATATAGGAGACAAAGGTAAAAATAAAGTTGAGAATGATAACACGAGAACAAAAACTCTGATTGATTCTCTTGAAGACTTTTATGGACTCACATGGATATACCTCTATAACAGGTTATACGCCTTTAAACGAAGATGTGGAGATAAATCTCCAAGATTGCGATAATAATGATCTTTATGATATTTTGAATAGGTAATTAAAAATGGCGTCAAAGTGAAAGAGACGATGTTAAGAAGAGACTAAAAGCAATGACGTTATAATGACAAAGACAGTAACATAAGCAATGATGTCACAAACAGTAAAGATGACGTATATAATGATGTCATGAACAATATAAAGTTATGAATAATAATTTTTTTATAAATTTTTGAAATCCGGACTTCATGTAGGTCTGTCTTTAAAGGGTGATGGTCAGTTTGTTGAGCACGGCCTTCAAACTCTTCTCTCTCTGTTTCCCATGTAAAGAAGCTCCACCTACGCCTTTCTCCTTTTTTTACCTTCTCTCCTTCTCTTCTCATCTGTAAGTAAAAATTTGTATGTTTGTTTGATTTAAATATGTGTCTTAATGTCATATTGTACGCTCTTTAAAATAAAAGAGATTTGAATCTATTTAAAATTTTGAAATGTGAATTTTATATAGATAGTTTAATTATGAAAAATCTAAAATTAAACACCGCTAGTGTGTTCTATATAAGTGATAGTCATCCTCCTTTCAACGCATTTTGACTCCGAGTTCTCACCATCTTTGAACATAAGAGATTGGTATAGAGCACGAGACTCCAAAAACCACATGTACTCTAGCCGCACTATTGTTCATAGCTCGATCACGGGATTAACCCTTGGCAAGTTTGTCAATTACCTTATCTCATAACCATTAACAAGTTTGTTAAATACATTATCTCATTACTCTACGATTATTGTAATTGTATTGTCGACGATACTGTTCTTGATTTTCCTCCGGTTTCATAAACCTAAGACTGCCTGTGACAGACCAGGGTGGTAGCGGGATAGCTTTGTGTAGTTGTCCCCAATGCAGTAATTACCTTCTCATCACTCTTAAGCCTGGGACGAAACGAGGACAACTCTTCTGCCTGTTGAGTTGTCCTAAACTTCTGGAAGGGTCGGCTAGTTGGCCAAAACTTGTCAACAATAGCCAAATTTCCATACACGCAGTGAAATAAACACCCCTGAATCAAAACCAGTAAAAAGACGCTCTTGTTCCAATCAAAAACTCTCACAAAACCAGTCAAGTAATTCAAGAACAAACCAATCTGACTTTGATTCAGGTGATGACCGGAAAAATAAAAATAATAAAAAATAATAACTCAAGAACAAACCAATTTACCATCTTAGCAGATGCTGCCTTCTCCTTGGTTTTCCGAATACAGAATTTTTCCAAACAAACCGATCTATGGAAAATAATCGCTCAACCCAACCTAGCACCTCAAGGTTCCATAGATTGATTCTACAGTTTTCAATGCTACTTGGGTACTCACAGATTAAGGCCAACTTATTCAGGCTGGTTTCAAATGACACCAGCATACTAAAATAAAAGCGTCCTACATCACCATACCCTTTAACATTGAAAGAATTCGGTGAACGATGCCCATGACAAAGATCATATTCATAGCAAAACATCTCAAAAACTTTAACGTTTCAAAAACATCAAGCATGTCAAGTAGGTACGACATTGATAATCTACTTCACTCCAACTATGGACATGAGAAACTGAAGCTTCTCATTGACTTCTAGAAGATCACCAGGATCTTCAAAAGATTGTGGTGGCTCCACTCCAGTAAAGATGTAGAGCGCCTTTAATTCATCCACACAAGTTGGATGACGTGCAGCTCTGTAACCAACAATTATTCGCATCGAGTTAATCTGTTCCCATAGTTTCTCCTCGCTGAGCAGCACCTACAGCAGAAGCAAATTGCATCCATAGGAAAAACAAAAATGTCCAATGAGAAATTATGATAACAAAACTTGGTACATGAACATCCTAAATTATTCATCTTCCCCTGTAGGTTACAATAAGACCCTAACATGCATGTGACTGTTTTGATTATAAAAAAAACTGTTTTGATTATAGAAAAACTTAAGTTAAAGCACGCGCGTGCGCACACACACATATATAGCAAATGCTAAATACTACTGAAAACTACAAGCAAAGAACATGTGCAGGATAGTGTATCATTCCTTGCAATTGAAACCAAAAACTGTGCCATGATAACCTTGTGCTGCAAGGGCTTCTTTCAGTCTTAATAGAGATCGCGGCCATTTTCTTCTTATGTTTCTATTCTGAGCAAGGGAAAGCTTTTAACTTGACTTGGTGGCATCGTAAGTGAAGCAACTTTGGACTACATTTAAATGAGCTTTGTTTCCAGTGGGCAAACATTTAACATCTCTGGAAATTTATTTCTTACAAAAAAGAGGCTTAAAAGAGAACTAGAAATAAAAAAACAACATAGAGAGAAGAAAAAGGGGAAGATCACGACAGCAAATAGATGCCTAGAAGGGGCTAAAAAGAGCACCAGCTAAACAACACAGAAGAACCTTTCAGAGAACAAAAATAATTCAAGAGTAGGCATAGCTTTAGTCAATTACATGGAACCCCCTACTTTGGTGAAATCTTACCCCTCATTGATTATCAAATGCACTTTTGAGGATTATTATCATCATTTCACTTAGCTTCTGGTTTTCTGCATCATACGAGGATGCCAGTTTTGATCACATCAGTAGAAGCAAGCGCGTTTGGAATTGCAAATCTTCTGAAAATAAGATAAACACGATGCAATGAGGGCGACACCACGGAATGTGGAACAGCTTCACACAATTTGTGTCCGCCCTAAAGTTGAATATAATATCAAGCCTTAAGAAAAGGACTCCCCTGATGTTTTAATAGAATGCTGTGCCATTCAGTCTTTTGCACCAGAGGCTTGCATTCTTTTTTGTTCTCCTTGTGTTTTATATTCATTATTCCTGGCCTACACTTGCTGTTCAATCTTTTCTAAGGTTAAATCCACCACTACCTAAAAGTTCGTACGCATCATAGACATTATAATCTAAAAGCATTAAAAATGATTAAATTTTAACGACAAAACAGAAATTTTAAAAAAAGAAAAAAAAGACGCACCTATTGTCTAATAAAAAAATGATTCTCATCGATGGACTCAGCAAAGCTATTTCCTCTAAGAAGGCATATAGAAGTACATCAACTTAATTCCAGAAAGTGTAGGGAGTTGGAGTTACTAGCTAAAGGTTAACACCTCTAATGCAAGTTACTCTATAACCTCACATATAAGCACATGCATGGAGTACATGAAACCCAAATTTAGTTGCAATATAACTCTGAACATAAACTTGCCATTGAGCGGCATTTATATATAATGCATGAAAAAAACTCCAGCCAATGCCAAGCAACATGGACATTCATTCATAACGCACTGACCTTTGGAGGAATTACCGCCTCCATTTCGGAAGCAATTTCAGAATGTTTGGGCACAGGTTTCCCTGATGAAACAGGTAGCTTCAGGAAATCTTCATTTTCACCTGAAGAGCTATCTGTCGCCTTCTCATTCTCACCTACAAGACAATCGTAGGTAAGCTCAAGGAAAACTGCATTTTCAACTGCAGTGCTATAAGTGGCCTTCTCATTCTTACCCACAGCCAAATGTAGCTATTGTGCCAAAATATGCTGCGGTGGACAATTAAGTACAGAAAAATACCTTCAGGGGTTTTGTGAACTGCACTGTTGGAGTGGCCAATGGTTGCATTTCTGTCATCGGCCACATTGAGATCACTGTCATTAGAAATTCCTCTTTCAGCTGCATTTGAATTGATCATATTTGCATCCCCTTCCAAGCTAAGATCCTCAGGTGCATCTGTAGCTATAGGAACCTTAAATCTAGCTCCTTGCAATACTTCATTTTTGCCTAACTCGAGTTTCTGCTCCTCTTCTGCTAATAAGCTTTCAACTCCTCCTCCCAGGCGCTTTCCATTTATCCTTTCATTCTGGTCCCCAACTGGCTTACCAACTCCAACAAACTCGTGACCATTCCTCGCATCTCTGTTTCCTTGTCTTCTACCTTTCTTCCGACCAACTTGTCTGACCTCTGGTACATTACGCGCATTTTCCCCATTTTTGCTATGTATCCCTTTGCTTTCCTGTGAAATTGCCTCACCTATATTTTCTCCATGAATTCCTTCCGTCACCCCATTAAGTTTCTCAAATTCCAGCTTTTTATTTCCAAATGGTCCCCCAATCTTGTCCTTGTTTTCCTGATTTTCTTTTAAAATTTGTTTATTTCTCTTTTGCCAATCTGTTCCCTTAATCTTCTCCATAAGTTTCTCTACTTCTACATTATTATCTTCAGATAGTTTCTCTATTTCATCTATGCACCTGAAATTTTTCTTGTCCTCCTCAACTCCACAAAATTCTCCAATGCTATGCTCTTCCTCCTTCACAATGTTACTAGAATTATCTTCATCCCTGATTTTTATCAACAACGCTGTAGTCTCTCTCTCTAATTCCTCCTTTTTATCCTTTCCAAACACCTCTCCCTTACTCCTTGGATCTTCCACAAGTTTCCTTGCCACGACGACTACATCCTCCTTTTGTGCAACACTGCTACCATTGCTCTCATCTCCCTCAGCTACAACCACAACTCGCCGCACTTCAACAGAGAATTCCTCAACATTGCTTTGGTCTACCACTGATTCCTGCTTTCCCTCTTTTCTTACTCCCATTTCTGTATGAACCCCTTTCATGGGCTCTTTATCGTCTAAGTACTCGCCGACATCTTCCTCATGCCCCTCTTCCTTCACATTATAATCCACTTCCTCCATTGGTTCTTGCATGCAATGTTTCACAGCTTTCGTTGCAGGATCATCTTCCTCCTGCAGAATATCTCCTCCTGGAATTTCTTTGCTTCCATCATCTTCCAATTCAACCCTCATCTCTAACCTTTTCTTTGCATCCTCTGTCTTTTCTGTTTCTTCATCTTCTGTTACATTTTCTCCAAAACGCACATCCTCTTTTTCTCCTTCCTCTTCCTCTTCTTCTTCTTCCTTTTCATCGGTATACACTCTGTCCATTACAACTCCTTCAGAACCCACATCCTCTTTTTCTCCTTTCTCTTTTTCTTCTTCTTCTTTTGCTTCTTCTTCCTCTTCATCAGTAGACACTGTGTCCGTCACAACTCCTTCAAAACTTAAATCCTCCTCTTCTCCATATTCTTCCTCATCACCCTCTTCTTCTCCATATTCTTCTTCATCACCCTCTTCGTCAGCATATACAGTCTCATACTCCAACATAAGAGAAGATGCTGGCGACGGAAGCAACTTGCTCATGAGCTTCTCAGTGCAAGCATAAGTCGCAAAGACAACCCCAAATGGAACCGAAAATGCAAACCCAAGAGTAGATATCATCAAAAGTGGAGGAAGAACCACGGGTGCAGATGAGATCACAATAGCTGTGATCACAACCTTCTTTCCCAGCCCCAGACCTCTGTTTAAGATCCAATTCACTTTACCTTCACTTTCTGGTGATGTATATTCCCACTCATCATCCGGATCTTCCATTCTATATGCGAAGCAAACAGAAAATCCAATCAATAAAAGACCCAACCATCTTTTATGGTTGCTAAGAAGTTTAAGAAATATTAAACAAAAAGATCAAGGAAACTTGAGAGAACAGACTACAGACATATACCTCACAATTCTGCTCTAGTGCTCCAATACCATATGTAGACCATCCAAACAAAAAAAAAGGGAAATTACACAATATTTCAAGGAGAACTCAGAAATGATAATTAAAATCATCAGGACCCATCCTATCGTCTCTTTGCGAAATGAAAGGGAAAAACAAACCAAAATCATCAGGGCTCATTGTATCATCTCTTTGCGCATCAAATGACAAAAAGAAAAAATTAACAATTAGATTAGCGAAAGGAGATATAGAGTTTCGTACCTGATGATGGACGGAAGTAAAGTGGTGCTGCGACTCTGGTGTTATGATTCAGATTTGAGCTCGAGATAACTGGCTTGTGGCTATATAAATGGGTTTGAACCGCTAGGGTCCTGGGGGTTTCATTCGGTGGATAGAGTGATTTAATTGAGGAGCCAAGACACGCGTTGGAGAATGGGCAGAGACAGTTGCAGGCATAGAGGAGGAGCCAAGCGTCTCTGTAAGAGACGTCAGCAGCAGCACCAACAACTGCATGCAGCGTGCCAACAAGGCATGCATCAGCAGAGAGCGTAGAGGGGGGAATAATGCATCGCGCATTTCAACGTGGCCGAAAGGATTGCCCCAGTTAGACACGGGCCCCACTGAATTGCCTGAGTCGGGATTGAGAGCATCTCTAAACTTAAATTTAAATTTGATTTAAAATGGCCCAAATTTTTTTTATAATTTTAAACTTAAATTTTATATCAAATTTTTAACGATAACTTTTTAACTTATTCAAAATTAAAAATCTTAATCAGCGATTTATTTTCTGCCTCTTCTTGCCTCTCTCTACTACATTGCTTTCATCGCCGACCACTACCAAAATTTTTACAAATTATTTGAAGACTTGTAATAAATTTTTTTCATTTTTATCTTTCATCTTTTTTATTTCTTGTATTTTTCAAAACACTAATCTCACCATCTTTCATACTATATAAACCCTAAGTCTATCCATCAAATAATTTTTTGATTTTTTTTAGTTAAACATTATTGGTAGTACAATTTCATACCACTGATTTTTCCTGAAATTTAAGCCTTCACTACCCGCATATTTAGAAAATTTGTCATTTTATTTCTTCAATCTTCCATTTTTGTTAAAAACACATGTTTTTGTATTCTTTAGACTAGGCCCATGTCAAAATAGTTATATTTTTTTCTTTTTCTTTTTATTTATCTGGATTTATAAAAAATGATATGGGATTAGAACAATTTTAGAATTCTGAACTGATTTCTTTATTCCCCTGTAATGTTGTATACATATTCATTTTTTTTTAATTACTTATTTATGGAGAGATATGAAAGTTTCATTTATTTTATTAAATATTATGATTTGAATGACACAAAAAAAATATGAGTTTTGGGATAATAAGAAATTTTTTTTAAAGATTTGAGTATATATTTGAGTTTGCTCAATGGTGTACTTATACCAAATCAAACTTTTTATTCAAATTTAGATTCAAATTTAAGTCTAAATTTGAGTCATAGTTAGAGATACTTTAATGAGTTCGGGTGAAAACGGATGAAATTAGGCCCAAATTAGTCATTAATGACAATTGTGCTGGTCAAATGGGTTAATATTCCGATGAGCTTTTACCCAAATCTAGAGGGTTTTGGAAATATACACTCAAAATTTGGTGATTTTGAAAATAATTTTCAAACTTAAGTAATTTTAAAAACGTTATTTCGAACTGACTCTTTTAAATGAAAAAGTCAATCGAACTGTCGCCTTTAACATAAAGATAATTTATATCTATACTACTTAAAAAGTGAGGATACATGAAAAATATTTATATTCCATTTTTACCCTTAACTATTGATATAAAGTCAATCATATCCACTATGTCTTTTGATCTTCCCTTTGCATCAAATTGATTAGCTGCATTGTTCAACATGCAATGTCAGTGCATGATCATCTGATTATATTTAATTTTCTTAAATTAATATACTTATTATATTTAATTTCCTTAAATTAGCCCTAAAACATTTACAACTCATTGTCTTCCACAACAAATAAATTTTTCTCAGTTCATACAAAAAGTGTTGCTCTCGATCATCTTCTCTGTCTTCCATTCTCTCATTTCTCTATTTTGTTATATTTCAAATTTTTGGCTCTTTGTTCTATCAATTTGTGGGCATCTATTCACAATCTTATCAATCCTCCATTTACTTTCAACTCACCAAAATTTTGGACTATGTGTGAATAGAATGAAAACAAAGAGAAAAGAATAAGAGAAAAGAATAAGAGAATACAATGGCCGAGGACTCCAAGAGGTAGAAGCTGTTTTATGAGCTTACTAAATTTCTTTTTGAGCACATCTCATTATTCATGACGTTATAGTGGCTTTATGTGCTTTTATTTGCAAATGCATTTGACTTTTATAGCATTTTGTTTGTAGGTTTTGGATATTGATTTTGAGAAGTTTAGTTCTATTTATCTTTCAAATTTGAATGTTTATGCGTGGTCTGTGGGAAGTATTATCGAGGAAGATGCTAAAAATCTTATGCATACACTCATAGCCTTGAAGCAGGATACCAGGTTTACACAATCTTCGAGCAGATAAAGTTTATTGACTTCTTGATGGATATGAAATCATTGATTTTTCATTAGATGACATTCTACATGTTTTTAACTCAAGATTCCCTAATATTTAGCTTTATTGCTTTTTACATGTAGCAGATTTTTTTATCCCTTTATATATTTGCTATAGTTTATATTCCTATTTTGATTAATCTCCTCATTCTATTTCTTTGATATTATGGTATTGGTTTACTTAGACTTAAGTTCAACAGCTTGATAGAAATAGGCAATGGTCTAGGGCTTACTGGTTCTGATATTTGTTGCTATTACTATGACATTTCATTCTTGTTGCTCATTGGTGTATTCTAGACAATTTTGAATATAAACTTAGACAATCAAGTGCCCAATTTCACCATTCTCTGGTGCTAATTATAATCTGATGGCTCCGACAATTTTTTTAGGTGGGACTCAATAACACTAGAAGATTGAATTTGTGAATGTTACAATTAAATCTTTAATGCGAGTTACTCCATTGAGGAAATTTTTTCTTATCCTTAAAAATTATCTATTTTGCAAATCTACACTCATCCTTTGATTTGAAGAGCTCACTCGAAAGAATTGGCACTCAATGAACTTTAAGGGACATTTGTTCCTGGTGTAATCAAAGTTTAGCGATGACTTTTGTTCATAAAATGTGTATATTTAACATCTTTTGTGTCTCCAGGTGAGCCAACATGAGTTTCTATAGGCAATTATGGACTACATACAATTTTGAAATCTTTATGTTTTTTTCTTCTGAGCATATAATTAAAAGGGGCTGACATTGATTTGTGTTTAAACGTATATGTAGTGTCTACATTAATTAGGTTTATAAATGTATTATCTTCTTTATTTCCTTGGCCAGATGTTCCATATGACACACAAGGAATACAATAAAAAAAATAAATCCAGATCGTCACTTTTGGGTAATGGAAGATTGTGAAATCCCATTACTGGTGAGACACATTACATAAGTAACAACAAATCAAAATAGTGGGTTAGTTGCAGGCTAGAAAACATGTATACTTCTCAAGGGTGTCGTGGCAGTGTTAGAACACAACCAGACATGTGCGATATAGCTAAAAGTGTCCTAAATAATGAGTTTAGTCGAACACGACCAATATTATTTTTAAA